GGCTTTTTAATGGCTTCATCGATCGACATGCAGTTTTCGCCAAAAGATTCTTTAAAATATTCTCCAGATCCTGGTGCCCTTCGTTTTTTCAGTTTTGAGACAGTTTTGCTGCCAAAAGCTAAATTTATTTATTTCGCCAATCACTTTTTTAGGCCGACGCTTCCGTCTCTGTAATTTTAGAAAATCCGCCAGGTTCGTACTTCCGTTCGATACTATCTCGCATTGTCGCGCAATACTGAGCACTATTCTAAGTGTGCGACCCGTATAGATTCTAGATCTAGCCTCATGTTTTCTTTTTTTACCAATGACTTTCAGTCGATGTTAATGCACCGATCATTCCTTTCATTGAAAGGGGGCCCAGCTAGTAATTTATAAAATTACACTGAAAAACACATGTGTAGTTCTACAATTTCACAAAGCTAGTCACGCAAAAACTAGACCCTCAAACACTCCCTCTCTTTGATGTTCGCCAGTATCACTGACTAAGTCTCCTCCCGTCCCGTTCATCAGTTCGCAAGCACAAAGAAACGTCCAGTCTATACAGAGAGACAATGAGCACACTCAATAATGCAGGACTAGCAGCGGTCTGCGGTACGAATACAATCACTGTTGTCGCCAAACTACGTACAGATTTCCAGTAGATGTACGCTTTAGACGTGAGGTGTTTGGTTGTAAATGTTAAAACATTTACGTCCCCATTAAAATTATTTGTGAGGCAACGTGGTGAAATCAGGAGCTCGTCAACATAGTGAAATTGAAGAAACTGGCATTTTCTGCCATGTTGACAATTTATATGAAATTTGTGTTTCTTGGCTTAACACCGTTTTTGTTCGTTTATAAACACATTACTGTAGTGATTTTACCGAAAAAACGTTGATTAAAGACACAAAAACTGTAAATTTACAGTTTCCTTGGACTCTCAAGTTTTGGAAGTCACCAAATTTTGGCAGCCATTTTCTCTCTGATTTCACATCTGAAACCAGTTGACCCCGTCTATTTCAATCCAGATTATCTCGACTTCTATTGAAGATAGAAGGGTGGTTTTTTTTTCATTGAAAGCAAGACAAATGAACACGTTTTGAGATGGTACCAATATCTATTATGCTCCAAAATTGATGAGGGCCTGATTTCACCGCATTGTAACACATTTAGATCATTCAGGAAGCAGGCTGCTTCGACCCCAACTACCAGGGCCCATACTCTCTTTGTTGTTCTTATACCCTTTCTTAAGGGGTATTACACGTTCAGTTAAAACTGACAGTTGTCCAACTTCTATGTCGGATTTTTGTTGTGGGCGGCCGGCTGGACAGCCTGATAAGAACACAATACGTGATGCAATCTTGGTTTAAAACTATGATAGCAGTGGCAATTTCTGTTCCAGTGGCCTTCCTTTGATAAAATTATCGTTGGTATTGAACTTCAAGTCTTTGGGGCAAGAGACGGCATATTTTATAAAGAGCCTGCTGTCAAAGCTTCAGGTTTAGAGACAGAGTGTTTGTGTCTATTGTCCTAGGTTCAGAGATAGAGTGTTTGCGTCTGTTGCAAAGGTCTCAGGTTCAGAGACAGTGTGCCTGTGTTTGTTGTTTTAGGTTCAGAGATAGAGTGTTTGTGTCTGTTGTTTTAGGTTCAGAGATAGAGTGTTTGTGTTTGTTGTTTTAGGTTCAGAGATAGAGTGTTTGTGTTTGTTGTTTTAGGTTCAGAGATAGAGTGTTTGTGTTTGTTGTTTTAGG